AGGGAAACACATTTATTATTGAACAGTAGCTACACATCTCAGGGATTCACTTGCAGGGACTGACAATATGATAAAGAGCAGGTTATGACATGACTAGGTCTACTTGAATTGTTAAGCAGATTCTCACATAAATGAAGGCAGAAAATCAGTCTCTGTCTCTGTTTATTGCACTTCCAATACTTGAGGCTTCATTTCCAAATAAGTTGTGTTTTAAGTGGGAGAAGACCAAGTAGTATAAGTTTGACCTGAAACTCATCCTAAACTCTGGAGCTGTTCAGGGGAAAATGTTCCTTTCTCTGAAGGCTTGTTATCTTCTTGAACTAACCTTGGATGTCATTCTTCACCTCTTTCTTTCTTTAAATCCCTGTAAGACCATTTAACTTGCTGTTAAATGTTGAGTATTCCCTTTCCAGGTGCTGTGAAGAGAGAAGGGAGTAGAGTGGCACTATAGTCTGGTAGTGTCATTAGACCTAGCTAGTAATGACACCTTTGTTGACTGATAAATGTCAAGGGCTTTGAACAGTCACTGCACCAGCTCCAACAAATGATATGGGCCAGGGAGTATTTTTTGACTGAGTTCACCTGTCATGGGGCAGTACGTAGGGAATCAGAGGGATCTGCCTCCATGGAAACCTCCCTTCTTCTTCTAATGACATTGTTTGAACAGAACCAGCCATGTCCTGATGCCATAATCTGTTCTGAGCCTCAGCTGCAGCAGAGTTGGCAAAGTGAATGATCCTCTGTCTCACGATGTCAGGACCCAGTCTCACATTTAGCCTGTGAGGGAAGTTAGGCAATAGAAGATGCAGATTGACCTCATGGTCTATAAGCCATTGATAAAATATTCCCGTGCAGTGTGAGCTACTGAATGAATGCCTCTGTCTGATTTGTTGCATACACTTGTTGTCCCAGATCTCCAAAGTCATGAGGCAATATTTAAAATAACTAGAGCAGAAAATTCTCTGAGGGGTCCTTCTTAGTGTGTCCTGTTTCAGATACTTACCTGCTTTGCACAGGATGGTGTAATACTTTTAAGAACAGACAGGGTAAATGAAAAATGCATGATAACATAACAGATACAAACACCCACCCCAAAGGAGCTTGGTTTCAGCTCACGTTCTATTGAGATTTTAAATATTTTATGTGAACTGAAAGTTTCAAAAGATCTGGCTACTGCTTGGAGAAAAAAATAATATTGGAATATGCGGTACATTCAGGCTCAAAAGATGAGCTCTCTAGAATCAAACCTCTTCCCCAAATCAACAAGTTGAATTTTCTTCTCTCACATCACTCACAAAGACATTAGCACCAAGTCTACTTGACATAAAGGTCAGGATTTGTGCTGTAGCCTACTAATCATGATGCTCTGCAACCAGAAGAAGTAGGTCAGAATGACTAATTCTGTGCTCTCCTCTTTGGATTTATTGCACTGTCCCATCATATGCCATTTCTCTCACTTATTGTCTTATATACTTATTCACTGATATTAATGGTATTTGTAACTGGGCCAGAGAAACCTTCTACGTATAAATTCTTCTTGTGATTACTTCTTTGGTTTCACATCAGTATCTTTCCTTAGGATAATAGCTTTTTGCAAGGACTCTTCAGCATTGCAGAGCACTCAGATATTGTTTTGAGTCCAGGACAAATTACACTAAATGTGCTTACTAGGTACCATGATCCCAGAGCACGTAAATCCAGTCAGAGAACTGATGATACCTCCCAGAGAGTTCACAGAAGCAGTGGCAAAAAAATCTGCCAACATCATTGTCGTAAGACTGACATTATTCTGTCTGTCATGTGCTGGTCTGAAAACTTCATGGATGAGCTGTAGGAATGGAAAAGGCCCTTCAGATCTGAGCACAAAGATGTTAGTTGAAGGCAATAGGCAATGAGACAAATACTTGCTTTGTTAGTTTCTTTATGCAAAACCTAGTTACAAATGATAATTGCCTCCTTCTTTTGCTCTTCAGAGCAGGTCTAGGAACTAGATGACTGCATAAGTCACTCCTTTCTCTGTCAAACTTGCCATCACTGCTTTCCTACTACTACAGCAGCATTTCCAGTCAGTTCACAGTCCTTTGAGTCCTATCCTTCTTCCAACTCTGTGGCTAAGATATGGGGGAAAAAAAAAAGGTGCCAAAATGTCTATAAATCAACTTCTAGGTCAGGATAGAAAACATAGAAATATTTAATTTTAAGGGAATCAAATTTTTCACTTGGAAAATGGCAAAAGTGTTTCTGCACTGCAGAATGAAGATTTTAAGGCTTGGGGTTTTCTGGTTTGTTTGTTTCCCCTTCTGTTCTTTCTCTGAAACAAAACAGACATTTCTAAGCTCTGACTTAACCATGATTATAAATTTTCTTAACTGTTCTGAACTGGAAACATCTGAGTTCAAAAGAAATAACCCTCAATTAAATATTAAGGAATCCCATTTTGTCTTAGGTTTGAATAACAGAGTCAGTGAGGCTGGAAGGGACCTCTGGAAGTTTACACTGTGGTCTCACCAGTGCTAGAGGGGAAAACCCAGGGCTTTCCTCTGCAGTCTTCAAATGCAATTCCCACTGAGACAACTGAAGAGCTGACTGTGCAAGAAGAGATTATCACCCTGGAAGTGTCATCTTCTCCCCTGTCATGTTCCTATCTGTGGCCTCGTGTACATGAATGATATATCTATAAAAAAATTGAATTATGGATAATGACTGTCAAACATTAGGTCAAGAGAGAATTATTTTTTTTTGCAAATGCCTTGAAGTATATGTAGAAGATAAAATATATTACCTAGAGCTAATCCATGGTCAAACAACAATAATTGAAAACCAACAATAAAATATTTTCTGCTGTTCATCACAGCTGAATAAATACAGTGTACAAACAGACCAATACTGATAATAGGTTATTTCAAGAAGTTAGGCAAGGGAACCCCATAATTCTCATGTGCTTCCTGATTCTGTCTGTGCCCTTTGTATGTTCATAGCCCCACAACCTGCCCCTCCTGACCATGAGTGGCTTGAAGACAGGTGAGCTAAGTGAGGCTGGAGTGCTGCACTACACATACTGGGATCTGTGCTTCTCGTTCTTCTGCCTCCACTCACCTCCATCCTCGAAGTGTCCTGAAGAAGGCAGAAATAAACATTGTGAACAAGCTAATTTTTGCACACACCTCTTGATCTTTTTTTGTACTTTCTTTACCCGTGGAATTTGTTCACCTGAAATTCTTTTATTATCCCTTCTTCACTTGATAAAATATAAATTAGAATACCCACACACCCCATAGTTTCCATATCACCACATTCTTTCCATCCTAATTTTTATGGTCAGGGAGTATCTTATGTCTGTGACTTTCAGGAGATCTCCTGAGCTCCTTGGTTACTGGGGAGCTGGGGGTGTTCAGCCTGGAGAAGAGGAGGCTCAGGGGAGACCTTCTCACCCTCTGCAACTCCCTGACAGGAGGTTGGAGTCAGGTGGGGGTTGGTCTCTTCTCCCAGGCAACCAGCAGCAGGACAAGAGGGCACAGACTCAAGCTCTGCCAGGGGAGGGTTAGGTTGGATCTTAGGAGGAGATTTTTTCCAGAGAGAGTGCTCAGGCATTGGGATGTGCTGCCCAGGGAGATGGTGGATTTACCATCCCTGGCAGTTTTCAAGATGATTTGGAGACCTGCATTCCTGTTTTGACAAGGTAGATCATAGCTTTCACAAAATAAAGCATAAATGGTATTAAACTGCTTCGTATGTAACTTTCTTAGGTAAAGATTAAATTTGTTAAGCAATAACAAGTCATAAAATGCTTTGAAAAGCTTTAAGCTTCAGGAAGTAGAGGGTTGGTTGATTTACCTTTGCAAGACAAACTGATACATGCTGCATATTGACTACACATACAAGAAAAATATGACCTAACAACCTGTGTGAGTGTCTTTGTCATGAAGTCCAAGTGCATACACAAGCAATAGGCTTGAAACTGGACTGGCCAACTAAGGCTTCTGCTTTTTTTTTTTTTGACCTCTCTCTTATTTTTAATATTAAAAATCCTAAAAGTCAGAATACTTTTGGACTACTTTAAACTTGTTGCCTTTCTGAAACTTAAGCAGAGAAGTCATTCTCTAGGACAGTAGTTCAAGGGTATATCCCAATGGTGTTCATAGGTTTGCACCATCCTCATGTGAGAGAATCTGGCCCAGTGATGACATCTCCTCAGCACAGGGTTAGCATCACCATTATCACAGGACTGGGTCTGCTCTCTCTGTCCTCTCTCTCACTCTGTTACGTGGCAGTGCCTTAGTCTGCACTGTGAATTCCTGTCCCTGTTCCAGGCCCCACATTTCTATGTAGGACTAAGATGAGTCTCTCAGGGCTCCAGTTCAGGTTGTGTCCCTCCACTCCTGTGCACCATTTTGGTCTAGAAGAAATGACAGGAGCTTAAGCTTTTATGTACCTTGTAAATGAGAACAGATATTCTGGCAGTGGCTTAGATCAAATAAAAGAAGGCAATATTGTACCCACAACTTTATTATATTACTCTGAAAAGTATTTAAAATTTGTACATTATGACAGGTTTTCAACCGAAACTAAGTGCAAACCACCTTCTCTTGGCAAAGCATATTAATTTTGTGCTTCAATTGAAATGTTTTATGGAACCATAGCCCTTAAGCACTCATAAACATTAACAACATTATCATTTTAATGGTGAGTTCTAGGTAATAGATGCAAGGCAGAAGACACTGTTGGATGTAATAGAATCATCCAGTTCCTGGCTGACGAATACCCAGAATTTAGAAACTGTGTCTGCACTACAGATGATTTCTGTAGCATCACAACTTTGCTTGGGAAACAGTGCAGCATTAATAGAGGTAATGAAACATAAAGTGTTAATTATGAAGACCAAACCCAGTAAATTTGTAATCCCCATTTTAACTGGATTCACGTTTCTTTGCCTATTTCTCGAATCTGATAACTCCCCCTAAATATTTTGTCTTTTCTATGATATTCACATTCCAACATGCTCCCATGGGCTGCATCCAAAGGAGTGTGGGCAGCAGGTCATAGGAGGTGACTGTCCTCTTCTGTTCTGCTTTTGTGAGACCCACCTGGAATACTGCACACAGTTCTGGTGTTCCCATCACAAGAAGGACATGGACTTGTTGGAGCAAGTCCAGAGGAGGTCATGAAGTTGATAAGAGGACTGGAACACCTGCCCTACAAAGACAGGCTGAGGGAGTTGGGGCTGTTCAGCCTGGAGAAGAGAAGGTTGTGTGGAGACCTCGGAGCAACTTTTCCATATCTGAAGGGGCTACAAGGAGGTGGAGAGGGACTCTTGGTTAGGAGCTGCAGTGACAGGACAAGGAGTAATGGGTATAAATTGAAAGAGGGAAAATTTAGATTGAATATTAGAAAGAAATTTTTTGCAGTGAGGATGGTAAGGCAGGTTGCCCAGAGAGGTTGTGGCTGCCCCAACCCTGGCAATGTTCAAAGCCAGGTTGAATAATGCCTTGAAAATGTGATCTAGTGAGGAGGTGTCCCTGCCCAGGGCAGGGGGTTGAGACTAGATAATCTGTTAGGTCCATTCCAACCCCTAAAATTCTATTATTCTATGATTCTATGCATATGAAAGAAATGCTATATCTGCTTTAAAATAAACAAAACCAATAAAATGCATGTGAGAAATTCAAATGGTTTAGAAAGCTCTTGTTCAATCCACTGAAAAGCAAGAGCAAAAACACCACTTGTATTGAGGGCTACTTGTTGCCCAAGGTGTTTTAAGTGTCACTGGAACTAGGTTATGAATAGAGAGACACATCTATCCACCTTGTGAATGTGAGTGTGAGCGAAGGGAGATCCACAGTGGTGCAGTTCTGCCACATTGTGTTTCAGAAGTACCTTCACTACATCTAGGAGAAGTTACTGGATGTGGGAAACACTGTCACTACCTTCCTAAAGCTGTACATAATAAATAAAATACATCTTTTTAAAATTCTACTACTGTAATCAATGGGCTCAGCTCCTTTCAATTTAGTTTTTATTGTTCTGAGAACACTTTGCCCTTTAAAAGCCTATCTCTGTAATTGGTAATTACTTAGTGCATGAAGAACTTGCAGATTTTGATCCAATGTCCCTTGGCATAATGATTAGCAAACCTGACATCAGAGTGAGAAAATCAGCCAGTGAATGAGAACCTGGAAAGTGAGCTCCAAAGTTGATTCCTGGCACTGATGCACAACTCCCTGCTGGCATCCAGTAGTAGAATGCACAGCAGTGGAAATAATAACATCCAGATCTGTTACTCCTTGCCCAAGCAAGAAGAATGGATATCTAAAACCTGATATTGATGTCATTGGAGCTGTTGCCCTTGCTTCTAGCAAAATTAAGTAATTTTATATTTTTTTGCCAACTGAGATTACATTTCTCACCAGTAGGGAATAAAAGTTTGAATGGATCTAAACCTGTATTGGTTTTACCTACAGATTGTAGTATAAGGTGTTGGTAGGTATTTTCAGGAGTGATTCTGTCTAACTTAAATTACTATTTTAGGTAATGAATGAACCACCTTCTGTAATTGCCATTCTCTCTTTGCATTGGATTAATCCTTACTATATCCAATCTGTAGGTGGTTAAAAATATATGAGATTAATCCCTTTATGCAGCACTTGTAGTGAGGATTTCCCTTACTACTGTTTGCAGCTGAATTATCAAAGTGGACTGTATTATACAGCTAACAACACACAGTAAGCAAGAGGAAGGTTCATTAATCTGCAAGACTCAGAATGTATGATGTATTTCCATACAGCTCAGAATGAAATGAGGACTGTTCCATTCACTCTATTGCATTAAGACAATTTTCCTTTTTCTGAGTTCATTTTGTGCTGACCAGTGATGCTACTCCATTTCCCATTTGATTTATATCTCTGCTTGTACCTATTTGTGCAGAATATTTGGAATCTTTCTCGGGATCAGACACTGAGGTGAGTTCTAGGCAACACAGAAGCTCCAAAGCCCAAAGGCACTCAGAAGACCTAGAGAATGACTGCATTACTGCAAGACAACACTGTCGAGAGGACCCTTACTGCTTTGAGGTGTATAAGAGCTTCCAACGAGCTTGCCAAGCAGATGCTGCAAAATGCAGGTTGCCAATAGTCAACCAGGAGTGTTTGTCAGCATGGAAAGAACTGAGGAAAACTGTGCTGGGAGAGTGCAAGTGCTCAGAGCCACTTCAGATGAGATGCATTAAGATATGGAAGAGAATATTTAACAACCCATGTTTACAATACTCTCAAGAGAGCCAAGCTTTAGCAGCTAGTGAAAGTGGTGGTGATGATGATGATGATGATGACTATAATGCTGATGTGGATGATGATGAGAAAAATCAGGATATTGACAAAGGTTAGTGGTATTTCAGCAGTCTGAATGCTTTCATATGTAACAGTAGTGTCCACATGCTGTGAAAAAGGTTTGCTTAATAATTTTCTGTTTGGCATTGGAAACAGAAGAGTTTTAAGAGATTTATTTATGCATGAATTAATAATCTTATAGAAGTATGATAGTCTGAATGCAAGTATTATTGTCCTTCAATGTGTTAATTTGATATAACCTGATTCAAATCTGTCCCTTTTAGTATTTAACTGTAACTAGAAACAATCTATGACCAATAACAATGATTTTCTCATAGGAAGAATTGTCTGCCTGCCTTGACTTTAGTCATGACAAGCAGTTAAACATGAAAATTGGTCCACTGATGAACACATTAAGACCTCTGGCCTTTATTTATTCAGAAGAATCTGACCTTATAATGCACAGAGAAGCTCTAAAAACTCATGAGTTCATAGGGTCTATAATTATGTAAATAACTTTACCAGCAACCATTGATAAACTACTTTGACCCCCAAACTTATGAATATATGTAATAGTGGGTTTAGAATTTGTTAACAAGCTCACAAGTTCTATTAGGTCAAGCTAATTTGTTTGATCTTTGCTTATTTTTACTGTTTGCACTATGCCAGCAAGAGAGCCAATACTTGAAAGTCAAAACTGAAGCTAAGACATGATGTCTCACTTATGTATCTGTATCTTTTTCTTCTAGACAATATTAGTACAGAAACAAAATTACAATGGAATTTATCTGCTCTCCCCAAACAATGTAAGTCTGGATTTACATATGAATCCTAATAAAGCATTTTAGCTCTGTTTTCAAATGGTATAGATTAAAAAATACTTCTGATTCAAATTACTGAAGAGCAGGGATTCAATAGATCCAACATGTTTTTAGTTAAGCTACTGGGTAGATAAGAATCCAGAAATGTTCAGGTAATACTCCTGATACTGTTAAATTTACAGAGGCAAATCTTGTCCCATAAGCATTTTAGTGTCAGAATTTTCTAGATATTTTTGGCAGGTTTATAGCATAGTCTAGAAATGCATAAACTATCTTTAATAGCAAAATCTTCCATTTATATTCTCTTCTTTGTAACTTATTGCATAGCCTAGAATAAGACTGTACACTGGAGATTTCAGCAGCTTCAGGTGGGTTGCTTATGAAGCAGTGGGAGACATGCAAATCACACAATAGGCTTAAAAGAGGCAAGGCTGGAAGAGCTGGATCAGAGATTTTGGGAGTCAAGCTTGTTTTCACTGGGAATGTTGCAGACAGGATGATCACCCATCATCACTTGAGAAAGGTTTTCTCGTGATTTCATTTTTCAAACTGTCACTCTTTTTAGCATACACCACAAACAGAACCTGCTTGGATGTGAACAAGGAGTGCATTGAAGATCAAATATGTAACAAACAGTTGTCCCTGTACCTTAGAGTTTGCTCAGTAAATAAGTGCAATGTGGAAGAATGTCAAGCAGCCATCAGGTTCTTCTATCGTAATATGCCTTTTGAAGTTGCCCAAAGGATGATATTTTGTGACTGTATCCAGCATGATGAATCCTGCCACAGAGCCAAAGAACTTCTCCATGGCAAACCCTGTGCAGCTACTGCAGTTCCACCCCTGTCATGTCTGGATGTGATCCACATGTGTGAAGAGAATAAATTGTGCAGGTGAGTAGAAGAAATGCTTCTCACAGTAAGATGTTTTTGATTAATCATTTGATCAAACCATTTATATATATATATGCCATATATCTCACCTATAACAAAGTTGTTTTCTGCACTCTATCAGCTGTGTTTGACATCTTTGCACATGTTTGCAGCAACTGGTAATTCCAGAAGTAATTCCAGAAGTAATTCCACAAGTAAACTGAAAAGATTAATTTTCAGAAAGGTCTGGACTCTAGTGTGGACTTTTCTTCTGCTGTTTCATGACACTTAACACCATTTCTGCTGGATAACCTATGCTGTTGCAGAGTTTCATTACCCCTTTCCACAGGTAACACCTTCCTGTCTGCAGCTTTGCCCTCTAGCAGTTTGCACAAATAATGCAACAGATTGGATGAAGTTTGTTTGGTTAAAGTAATTGCCTTTTTGAGGGCAGACTCTGACCCTTTGGACCCAACAGGCATAAAACCAACTTGGTCTGTTCAGAAAACTTTCCTCTTATTCTCTTCATCTCAAGCACAGTGGTACTTGCAAAAGGCTAACCATCCAACTCATGAAGAATGATGCCATGTCAAGATTTTGTATTTAGAGACAAGCAACAGGATTAGCACATATTTATAGCTTTGCTTCATTGCCACCATTTGTCGATGGTCAGTTGGCCACTTTGGTCTTCACTCTAAGGATGGTGAGACCCTGTCCCAGGTTGCCCAGGGAGGCTGTGGCTGCCCCAACCCTGGCAGTGTTCACAGCCAGGTTGGATGAGCCTTGAGCAACCTGCTCTGGTGGGAGGTGTCCCTGCCCAGGGCAGGGGTTGGGACTGGATGGTCTGTAACGTCCATTCCAACTCCTAAATTTTATGATTCTATGAATTGCTGTGTCCCCCATTATTTTGGGAACATTAGTTTTTCCTGACACTGACAACAATTGGCTATAATTAGCAAAGTAAGTCTGTGAAGTCTGGCTAGCCCCATCTATAAATCAGGAAGTCAATAGATATAATTCCATTGGAACAGAGGTGGCATCTGGTTTGAAACTTTTGCAATAAAAATATTCACAAACATTCCATAACCAGTGTTTTAGAAGTCCACGTTTTGCCATGTGATTTGCCTGTAGCCACTGCTCAATATCAACAGCAAATTAACGGCCTAATTTATGATTAAGGAAAAATGGCCTAATATCTTAATGTTCAATATACAAATCTTTACCTTCATCATCCCCTTTTAATGTAAGCAATGAATTTGTTTCTAATTAATATCTATAGATTTCTTAATTAATAATTGATATTTTCTATTTTCATACATAGTGCATTAAAAGGCAATTTTATTCCATCCTAAGAGCAAATAAACTGGAAATCATTTGAGATTACTGAGCTGGGAAACAAGTGAATTCTTGAAATTGATTTCTGCTTTTGGTTAATCTTTAAATTCTACTGAATTACTACTAATTTTTCCTGAGCTCTGGACATTTTGTGTTTTGTTGCTGTCCAGGGGGATGAGGGGTTGACATTGGATGTAGATTATTTAATGTAAAATATTCTTTCTTCCTTCACACTGCCCAACAAACTGATCCACTAGAACAGAACCTGCTGTGGCTTCATTGTGGTGACTGATCTAATTCCTCTCTATGCATTTCTTGTCTGAGTATCTGAGACTACTGCAATTCACACTGGGTTTTGCTGGATCCTGGGAAAATCTGCACAGGCAATGATAAGGAGTGCAATTGCTGTTTCTCAAAATCAGAGCAGGATTTAGGCCAGCTATCAGGCTGCTACTTAGGCTAATGAATATTGGGATTTTTAAGGCTTAAGTGATACCTGAGGGATACACTTTCTTTCGTGTCTTTTTGTGAAATCAGTTTTTTAGCTGCCATTGTATACTCCCTTTTTTTTTTTTTTCCACCAGGAAAAAATACACAACTTTTCACTCAAAGTGTTGGAGACATGTGACAAAAAAATGCTATGATGACGAAGCTTGTCTTGAAACCTTAATCAAGGATGACATTCCCTGTTCTGCAAACGCTGATTGCAAAGCAGCCTATGTCAGCAACTGGGGCACGATGCTGCACATGGAGTGCACCTGCCAGAATCTGCCTCATGCAGAGCAATCCTTGTGCAAGCTCTTCCATCACATGCTCCACAGCAAATCCTGCTTCAGTGACTTGCGTGAGTAGCACATACAACTCTACAGAATAATTAGCTGTAAAGAGTATTAAGATGCTGACTGGCACCAAATCTTTGCTATATCTTTCCTACCACTGATTTCAGCAAGGTTTGTATCTGTGGGTTTATTTCAATCCAAATCAAAGTACCAATTGCACATGCAGTTTTTTTCCTCTGGTTCGGGGAAAAATTTATATTAGTGGTAGACCAATGAAATTTACTACATGTCTCACAGTCGTTGTTTAACCCACCAAGCCCCACACAGCCCCTTGATCTCTCCCCTGCTAGTGGGATGTGAGAGAATCCAAAGGGTAAATGCTAGAAAACTCCTGGATTGAGGTAAAAACAGTTTACTAGGGAAAGCAAAAGCTGCACACACAAGCAAAGCAAAACAAGGAATTCATTCCCTGCTCCCCACGGGCAGGAGGTGTTCAGCACCTCCAGGAGAGCAGGGACCATCACCTGTGATGGTTCCTTGGGGAGACAAACACCATCACTCCAAACATCCTCCCCTTCCTCCTCCTTCCTCCCACTGCACACCCTGAGCATGATGTGCTATGGTGTGGAATATCCCTTGGGTCAGGTTGGGTCACCTGTCCCAGCTGTGTCTCCTCCCAACCTCCCATGCAGCCCCAACTCCCTTGCCATGTGGCAGTGTGGGAAGCAGCAAAGGCCTTGGCTCTGGGTCAGCTCTGCTCAGCCACAACAAACACATCTCTGCATTATCAACCCTGTGCTCAGCACAAATCCTAAACACAGCCCTACACTAGCCACTAGGAAGAAAGTTAATTCTACTCCAGTCCAAACCAGCACAGTCATGACATGACTTTTCTGGAATAACAATAAAAGTTTATTATCTGGCATTTATATTATTATGCAGATTAGAAAAGTCCAAAGCCTTCCTGTCATTGGCTTAGTGTTGTACTTTGGTACACTGGTTTTACAAATAATGTGAGGTGTTATCTTGTTTATCTTTCTTTTCTTCTTGGAGTCTAAATATTAGTATATTTTATGCATATTTATCAACAGACTTCATTCCACAGAAACAGGGATTTAAATAGGACTTTAAATAGGAATGGAGGCTTTAGGATTTGGCCTTCATTAAAAACACTGAGCTTAACTCAGATGCAGTGTATGTCCTTTCTCAGAACCAGTAACACCTTTCATGTGCTAAATCAGCTACTTCTTTTTGCTGACTATAAGGTTCTTGCTGAAATTCAAACTGAGAAAATGCAAAAAAAATCTGTTTATGATGACATAACATGCTTAGATTTGAGACTACTGGCGGTGATTTTGCTGATGAATGTTATTTATTTGTTTGCTTTCCAGTTTCATTTAATGGTCCAAATGAGTGAACACATCATTGTGTTAGTTATTCTTTACTTACAAAGCAAAAAGATGATCCTCATGTCAGAATAATCAAATTATTGCTCATGGGCTTATGCCATTCCCTGAAGCAGTCTCAGGATAAAATGGTTTGGGTTGGGTTTTTTGTGATGGAAACTTCCCTAATTGGGTTTGAAGAACAGAAGCTTCTGTGCTCATGTGGTGCAATGATTTCTTGGTCGTTAAAACCAGTTGGAGGATCCAGGGCCTTTGGTGGAGTAAAGAATCAGTACCTACTCTACAGAACAATTCCAGGGTATTGTGAATCCTCTTTTTGTTTTTTTCTAGATGTCTAGTTGTAATGCAACTCGACTGATGATTATGGGTTTGATTGTCAGGCACAGTTTTAATGTCATTATCTGCACAGAAGTTCAGAGACATGAGGTGACTACTAGCTCTGTGAACTGACCCACAAGTGATGTTTACACCATCTCATCTTCCTCCTCTTGCATGGCACTGCCTTTGCTATAATTATTTGCTCTCAGGCTGTGCTTACAGGATTAGAGTTTGCTGGATACTCAGTTAAAGGCAAGAACTGTGAGTAACTGGTTGCTCTATGAGACAGAAGCACAGTGTGGCTCAGTGCCAATGTAGCATCACTGTCACAACAGGAATAAGAAAAAAATATCAGTGACAGAAAGCAAAAATGTTAAGTTAACTCTGGGTTTTACTTTTGGATCTCAGAGAAAAAAAAAATTGCAGGTAGGTTTAGACCATTGTTATTTGGACAACATTCCAGACTGCAAACATGAGCCTTTCTTATATTGCTTTCCTTCCTATAGGAATGAAAATTTCTCAGTTTGTAGTTCATGTGAGTGACCATACATAGTCTTATACAGCTTAGCCTCCTGCTCTGTTAACTATTCTTCTTAGGTAAACACTTTTCATTTCAACAGAACATATATATTTTCACAGATATTCATGAAATTATGCCCACTAAGAGCACAGGACTTGTGAAAAAATATTGATTGGAGTCTAGCAGCTCCTTTGGAGAATAAGCTCTGCTTTTTGGAAATTATCTCAAACTACTATTTCACATCCCTTCTATATGGGTTGGGTGGACCCAATACTTTCAGTGAACCTATGTCTAAATTAGTTTATGTGAAAAGGGATTTTAGGCTGCTTCAAGGTAGGCAATATTTTAAAAATGTGTTTGTCCCCCATAAGAAAAACCACAGAGGAGGTTTAACTGAGTTGGGAACTGTTGCTCACTCATTCATTTGCTCATCAAGTATCATTAAATATTATTTTAACTAGCTCCCTTGATAAATTCTATGACTGTCATCAATACATCAAACAGCAATATTCACATAAATTATTACTTTAAAGTAATATTTTGAATGGATATTTTCTTTCCAATATTCCAGGTCAAATTTCTATTCAGGAGAAAGATTTACACTGGGTAAATGCAGAAATGCCAGGGGAAAGGCTGTCAGGGGCACAGTTCCATTCTTCTGCAATTAATGGTGAGTTTGGGCAAGTCACCCCATGATTTCCATGGATGGGCTCTTGAAATATCCCTCAGGTATGATAGCACAGACTAAAGATTGGGTCCCTTGGGTGAGTTCAGGCAACTGAGCTCAACCTGTTGCTCCCCTATTCAATCTAGATATCTCCCTACCTGTTTGGCTTAGCTTATATAACCACAAAACAAAGTTAATGAGACTGAACCAATTTCTCTGATAAGTGGCTTTGAAATAGATGGCTCACAATCACTATATTAAAATTGGGGAAAATTAAGTTGTTAAGCCTGCCAGGGCCAGACTCTGTACAGTCATTAAAGAGTAGTAGTCATAATGTGTAATACAAACTGTTAGCTTTGATTCACACCAACTTCTGTCTTTCTTGGCTTGATGTAGTAGTTACAACAACAGAGTTAGGAAGCCATAGGAAGTGGTCTGAGCAGGAGTTTGTGTTACACTGACTTAGTATTTGCCTCCTCATGCAACAGAAGGGCACACAATTATGGATCATATCATAGAATTTAAGGGTTGGAATGGACCTTACAGATCATCCAGCCCCAAGCCCTGCCCTGGGCAGGGACACCTCCCACCAGAGCAGGTTGCTCAAGGCTCATCCAACCTGGCTGTGAACACTACCAGGGTTGGGGCAGCCACAGCCTCCCTGGGCACCCTGGGACAGGGTCTCACCACCCTTAGAGCAAAAAAATCTTTTTCTAATGTCTAACCTAAACTTCCTCTCCTTCAGTCTGAACCCATTACCCCTTGTCCCATCACTGCAGCTCCTAACACAGAGTCCCTCTCCAGCTCCTTGTAGCCCCTTCAGATATTGAAAAGTTGCTCTGAGGTCTCCAAGTTGCTCTGAGGTCCCATGGGCTGAAGAGCTGCATGTGCTTTTATTTCCATGCATTTACAGTAAGCAATTAAGTGACCTACTGTTAAAGGATAATGAATCAATATACAAATTTTCTCACACTTGAAATAATATTACTTTTATATTTCCTTTTGAGGGAGCCAATTACACAGTGGGAACACTAAAGAGCTTAATGCACAAATAACAACTCAAATGAGAATGACCTGTTCTACCTTGTGTAGGGCAGATTACAATACTGCAGATATTACTACAAATTAGTTCCCAGAACTGTTTGCACAGAGCACTTCTAACAGGGAAAAATAATTCAGTGTCTGCATGCAATGCAAAATGAAGGGAATTCTATCCTCTTCATCCTTCAGCTATTGCTGAAGTGAGCAACCTGGGAAATAAATAAATAAATAAATAAATAAATATGTGTATATATATAGGGTTAAGGGAATAGGATTCCTGATACCTGTGTGTGAATAATTAAGCATTTGGCTGTAGTCCTGGCATTAAAAATACTTAATAATCATGCCTGTCATCCAAATGCTCAGTGCAGCTAGAGAAGAAAGTCAGAGATTCTCAAAGGAAGATCAATCCAATCTTTTCAGAGTACATTTGCTGGAAGTATTAACTTCTCTCTGCCAAGTACAGAGGGAGCCTGAATCTCTAGCTGGAATGAGACTCCAGTGGTTAAGTAATGCAAGTCATAATGCAAGAAATCCTGGTCTAAGTGAGAAAATGCCAAAATGTGAGGAATTTCAGCCCTGTGACTCGTTTGAGCTGCAAACCCTTTCAGTGAGTAAAGTGTATTAAACATTTCCCTCAGAGATTCAGATAAATATTCACAAAAAGCAGCCTGCACCCAGTTAATTCTGTTCCTGTTGAAGTCTGAATGCCTTCCAAAAACATTTCCTTGAAGTCTTAACAGAAATTTGGATGGCCTTAGAAAAATAAACAGAATGCTGACCAGCCTAAACTGTACCATAAAATATTCCTTCTAGTGGAGCTCTCATGTACACTAGATGGGGACACTCTAAACCATAGAAGTCTCATAGGAAGCCAGGGCAAGGAGAAGAATCTCATTGATAAAAGACATATTGCTAATTGCTTCATAAATCCAACTGCCAAAAATCAAACACAGTATCCTAGATTCATACTCTAGTAAATGTACATTGCTCAGGCTGCAAAGGGAGTTATCATCTTCACAAAATATTCATCTTTAATGAAATCAAATCCCAAGAAGAATCTCAGGGTGCAAAGGCAAAACAGTTAAGTTGTCAAATATGGTCTTTTCTCTGTGTGAAGA